TCATAAAGCCGTGCCAGGGGACTTGCAATGACCCCAGCGAGTTCCTTCAGGACTCTAGGGTGAAGATCATCTGGGCCGGCTGACTTAAAAATGTCCAGCCCCTCCAGAAGCTCCCTAACTAAATCCTCACTCACTCTAGGCCCAGGTGAGCCTCCCCCGGGGCCCAAAGGGGGCCCAGCAGGGAGGTGGCTAGTTAACATAGGAAAATATCAAAGTGAAGCAACCATTGAACAATAGTAATACAATTGGAAAAAGTGAAGCTTCGTTTTTAACAGTAATTCACAGTATATTTATTACTGTCCAAAGCAAAGTACAGGCCAAATTTAAAATGATAAAATTGTGTAGGATAGTCATAACGTTACGCCAGGGAGCAGTATTTTAAGCCAAATATATATTGGAAAGTCTATTAAGTACATGGAAATGTGACATTGTTCAAATGTGCAGGATGGGACATAATAAGCTCCCTAGTTCATAGCAGTAGAGGAGGAGATATATTGACAAAGTTAATAGGTACTCTGAATGATTGTTTTCTGTAAATTCTATTATTTCTCTCTTCTGCTCTCTCTCTCACTTTTCTTTACAGACACTCACAGGACATGAGATGAGTTTGTGACAAAAGAAAGGTCCCAAGGCCATCTGGAGCTAGAGCTGGGGTAGCAGTATTTTGGAGGTGGAGTAATCCAACATTTAAAGACTATTAATCAGCTGCTTGATGCAGACTTTTATTTGACAGAGTTAAAAAAGTCTTACACAATAGTCTATTTTCCAAACATAATCCCATTCTCATAAATTCATTATTTTATTTAATTCAACAGCCTGTAAGTTGGCCTTAAAGTATACCATATAAGCCATTAATTAATAAGAGCTGAAATTCTGCCCCGGTTGATATCAATGGCAAAACCCTGATAGACTTCAGTGAGGACAGGATTTCATGCAATATAACATGAGAGACTGGTATAAAAGCATTCCATTAAACCTCCACATTTCTTTAACTAGGATTTAGTATTTCCTATGTATTTTCTAACCTTCCTAGCAAAAAAACCCACTAGATTCAGATGCAAAGTAAGACTCAAAACAGAAAATGACAATAAAAAAAATTCAAAATTAAAAACTGATTTTCACAAGAGTAGTGCACTTCCATTGCTGTTCATAATTCAAGTGAAAATAGAATGTCAATTTCAATGACAGCATCTTTATATTATTCGCAAACAGTGAAATTCAACAAATTTTTACCTCTGTGTCAAAGGTGGGGTTATAGTCATTGTAACCAGAATAAAGATCATCTTCATCCGTCTCAGGTGCCAGGTGCACATCTCGCATCATTTTTTTTACCTGTAAGATATTAAATATGGCAAATATTTTCTCAGTGATACTAAAAATCTCTTTATAGTTGTAAAATATGAACAGTAATAAGGCTTTACTATTCAGTTCACATGGGCTAACATTTCCTTTTAACTGATATCAGTTCCACCTGAAATTTCAAAATCTGTTTTGTGTAACCCCAAAAATTTAAGATCCAATTCAAAATCCATTGATATCAAAAGGTCCACTGACCTCACCAGGGTTTATTTAAGCCTTTCTACACCATTCCCAAACCAAAGAAAAAAAGAAAACCCTTTAAAAATATACTTTTAGATAAAGTAGACTCTTTCAAGTTGACAGAGTCAGGAGACGCTGGTTCTCCTTGATTCATCCTATCTGAGTGCCCTAATCACCAAGCTATTGGCTATTCTAGGGTGGATCTCTTTCAATCTTTAATGAAGGCTTGTATAAATGATTACACATTCACTGGAGTAGGAACTTGAGTCTAAATCTCTTCCTATTCCTTGTGAATATCCTGACCATTGGATTAGTGCGATTTATGAATACAAGTGGAACAAACAAGAGAGATTGAAAGAAACCAACCCCAGAACAAGTACGGGTCTGCTGGTCATAGCATTCACATGGGATGTGAAAAGCCCGGATTCAAGTCCCTACTTTGCCTGATTCAGACTCAGAATTGAATTTAGAGCTCTTAAATCCTACATGATGCCCTAACCAGCATGTTATTTGTTTTCCTCTCTTTCCCTCCTGGAAGTGTTCAGCTTTTTCTGAAGCAAGCATACAGGACTAATAACTAATCCAATTGTCAAAGCATTCCCAAGTTCCTAGATGAAAGATTTAAACTCATCCAATACTAGAGCTTGCTCACCCTTTCCCTATTACATGATCCTACACAGAGAGATAAATGGTAGAATTCCTGCAATCTGGGGAGCCACAGACTATAGCACAGGCTAACACATAGGAAATTACATACCATAGTCATGTGCTCAGCAATACATAACAGAAGCTAGAGAAATATCTCAGGAAGAGGTGTTTACATGCACATATGTCTTCTGCATATACTCAAGGAAATATATAGGTATGGAAAATCACTTGCAACACCTAACTTTTAAGTACCTAGCTGCTAGGGTAGAATCCAGAACATGGCATAAGTACCTATATGCAGTAATTGAAGAATTAGAACTGAACAGTGAGCTACCTGGACTTAGCCAATGGAAATATTAATATACTGCCTGAAGTCCCACCTTCTTTCAGACCCTAGATCAGGAATAGGCAACGTTTTTTTGGCCGGAGTCCTGAAAAAACCACAATGACTACCTTGTAAGGTGCCAGAGTGCCGGCATGCCACAAAAACAAAACTGGGGCAGAGGGGGTACATGGCAGGATACACTGCATATTTAATATTATTAATAATCATTAATGTTGCTTTTTTTCTTATTTTATTTTTTTTACAGTAAATAGAGAGCTGGTGTCAGGCGGGGAGCGGGGGCTGCCCCAGGGCTCCCCTACTCGGGCCACAGCAGGGGGCCCAGCAGCACCGGAGGTGGGGCCCAGCCACCCTGCCCACAGAGGGACAGAGCCTAGCCGGGGCAGGATGCCGGGCCCAGGGAGCTCCCTGCTTGGTCTCTGTGCATGCCGGGTACAGTACGAGTTGGAGCTGCAGCTAGTCTGTTCCCTGAGCTCTGGGAACAGCTGCCGCAGCCAGTACTCAGGGCCAAGCCAGCCAGGAGCCTGCAAAGCAGTGGCTCTGTGCAGCGCCTGTCCCAGCCCTGGCCGCTTGAGGGAAGCTGCAGGTGGGCAAGGCCAGGGCCCGGACAGGCAGAGGGAGCCGCAGTGGCTGTTCCCAGGCTCCAGGGACCTCCCGCAGCCAGACCCCTGCACCCGGGATGGCTCTGCCCTGCCTGCACTGTGCCCAGCATGCAGGGAGGCCGATCCCGGAGAGGGAAGTCCCCTAAGCCCAGCGTCCTGCCCTACCCATGTGTGCAGGGTGGCTGTGGCCTATCCCTGAGAAGCTGTGCGGGCTGCCCAGGCCTCATCACGGGTGCCACTGGGCACTCCCGCCTGCCCACCCACCACACAGCCCCAATGCAGCCCCCACTTCCCACCCAGCCCCCACCTTCCTAAGGGCCTGACCAGGCTGGCTTGCCTACGGCAACTCCCCACACGCAGCCCAGACCCTGCCCTGACTGCCCAGCCCCAGCACTCGGCACCTCCATGCTGCCCCACCTGGGTGTGACAGGGCTTCTGGCTGCCTGGGCAGCTCCCTCCAGGGCCAGCTGGGCTGGCGGGCACAGCCTGGGAGCACGGGGTGGGGACAGTAAAGCACACACACCTCCCTACCTGCCTGCGCTAACCTGGCTCCACCCAGCGCCTGCTGCGGTGCTATGACTTGTAGCTGCATGGGACAGCTGGCAGCAGCAACTTTAAAAACAAAAAAAACAGTTTCTTTGTGTGCTTCCCAGTGTGCCGGAAAAATGTCTCTGCGTGCCACTAATGGCACGCATGCCGGGGGTTGCTAACCCCTGCTCTAGATGCATGTTGCATGATACAGGGCTACTGAAAGATTCAGGATGCCTCCTGGCATCCTCAATCTTCTCTGGAGGCCAGGAGCCTACAACCAATTCTTTCAAAGAACTGAGTAGAGCTCACTCTTAAAAACTTTGATAGTATCACTTCTGACCATCTGTTATTAGGGCAGTTCAGCAAGATGGATAGAGAATCCTCCACTTATTTGAGTTTTTCACCTATGCATTAAGAATTCAAGATTGACTAAGTCAAAGAGCACTCGAGGACCAGTCTCTGCAGCCTACTGCTTTAACAATCTTGAGAGCAGAGATGGGAACCCAGGACTCCCCCACCCTAGAGGAATCTCTTAACCACTCAACTACAGTCATGTTCCCTTTAAGGCGTAGGCTCCCTCTTCTTCTTCAGCAATCCCTTGCAGTCCAGGATGATTGTCTTCCATGACTGGGCCTAACTTAACTTTAACTGTTTATTGCACTGACACACAACTTCAAGGAGAGGGGTATGCAGTGCTGTGATCCATGCTAGCATATACCCTGATAGGTAAGGAAGTCTCCTGGGACCTGGAAATCTGGACCCTCAGCATGGCAAGGAAGAACTGAACCTAGGTGTCCCACAAGGCTATTACAGGGGTGGACTACATAATCTCCTCCTCCAGCCTTGTTTGAAAAGAAAGTTGTGGCCACAATTGCGTTGCATGCCAAGCCCAGTCCTGTCAGTAAATGCACCCAGAGCCTGCCAATGGGATCAAGCAACAGGACAGAGGGGTCAAGCATTCCTCAGTCTTGTTCTTATATCCCATTCAGGTTTGGTCAGCATAAGCACCAGTCAATCACCACATCATCTCTGACCCTACAGTCCAACAACCAGGATTTAACTGGCCACACTGTTACTGGGCACTTCTCAACCATTTTCAAACTGGACAGGATATCTGTGCCTCAAACCTGTACCAACGGGGCCTTCACAATGACAACAAATGCCTTTGTGGACAAGCTCAATCCAGTCCCACATTGCTAACTTGTGTCCATTTACAAAACTACTTGGGGCCTTCCAGTTCTTCACACCAATGAAGATATTGCCTTAAAATCATTGAAACACTATGCGGAAACCATGCACGCGAAATAAATGCATCCTGGCCTCTGGCTCCTTTTCTAGTCCATCCAAGAAGAGCACAGACCAACGGCAGACACTTCCTCAGCCCAAGGAAGGGTGTTCGTACCCAAAAGCTTGCTAAGAAGTGTTTTTCCAACTATTTGAGTTGGTCTAATAAAAGGTATCAGATTTACCGACAGAATCTTACTAAATAAACACATTTAGGCTTAAAGCAGGAGTCAGGCACTGTACTGCTGGGCCTGCTGCGGCCCTGACCGCTGGCAGAGCAAAACCCCGGGAGCCTTGGGAATGCAAAGGGCAGGGACCAGACCCGCTAGCTCTTGCGCCCGCCGCGTGGGCCGGGCCCCAGGCCCATCACGGGGCCCGGGTTCCCCCTCCCTGCAGAGCTCCGGTGCTCCTGCCCCTGGCCCCACGGGGCCTAGGGCAGGTTTCCGCACCGCAGCACCGAACCCCCCCTACGCCCGCGCCCACCACCTCCTACCGAGCCAGGGTGAACCCCGGACCCCAGGGCAGACGCAATCCCACCATGCACCACGGCTCCGGGAAGGGGGCGGGGCAGCGCGTCCGGTTGCTAAGGTGACGCGAGCGCCTCGTGCCTGCGGCAGCCACCGACTCCACCCCAGCCCACGGTGACGTCACCTGACCTCCGCGCACGCGCCGTTGCAGCTCTTGAAGCCGGTGCTCTCCCCCCGCCCTCGCAGGGCAGCCGCTGGGTCGCAGGCAGGGACAGGAGTGGGGGTGTTCTCACACGTGGCCTGATTTGCTTCCTCACGTTTTTCTTGGCTTTCTGGGATGTCTTTACTACAGGCACTGAGCCAAGGAGGTGATCTTGGTGCTGAAGTCGCACTGCGCTGTTGCTTTTAAACTTGAGAAGGACTTACCCATCCCGTCATGCATTAGGTAGATCCTAGCTGAAGGGAATCACCAGACTGGACAGCTCTTGCAAGTGGTTTTTAAGCAGCAAATCTTCGTGATGCTAGGATTAACTCTCCGTTTTCTATACTGGCTTCTCATGAGTAATAAGAGCCCAGGCAGAGTTGCTCTGCAGAGGATAATTCAGTCTGCGGGCAAGGGGAGAAACCGCGCAGTGGTGACTACTCTGGAGTCTACCCTCTTCCATCCATTCATAAAGCCATGCAGAGACAGCGCAAATGACCTCCACATAGACACTGGATAGCACCTTTGCACCGCTTTTCTAAAGCCCAGTTTCATTTCTTGCATGGGAGACCCGCTTGATTTCTGGCAGTAATGGAAGGGGAGAAGGATTTCATAGATTTCATAGATTTTCAGGGTCAGAAGTGACCTCAACAGATCATCCAGTCCGATCCTCTGCCCTGGGCAGGAAAGAGTGCTGGGGTCAGATGACACCAGCCAAGTGTTTGTCCACAGAAGGAGATGCAGTATTTTCCCTAATTAGGGGACTGGGTCTGAGTCCACCCAGTAAGCCACTAAGAATACTTACGGAATCTAAAGCAGGAGTCAGCAACCTGCAGCTGGTGGGCCAGGTCCAGCTGTGGGAGCCAGTGAATCTAGTCCAAAGCAAGGGGGGACTTCTCCTGCCCCTGGCTGCACCACAACCAAGTGGCTAGAAAAGCAACAGTAGCACCAGCGATGGGATCCTAGTGCCAGCCTACTTTGGACCCAAACCAGATTATTCTGGTTTACCTTTAGAAAAACATTGATGACCCTGATCTAAAAGTGTAGACCCAGCACCTACCAACAAAAAGAGTTCTTCTGCCAGCATACATACACCAGTTTCCCAGACAACATACCATTAACTGACAAAGGCACTCTTCTGCCAGCACAGCTGTGTCCTCACCAGGGGTTTTGCTGATTTTTTCACATTCCTACCCAACAGAGCAGGGGTTGGCAAAATATGGTCCATGGGCCAGATCCAGTCCAAGGGAGGGACTTTCACCAGCCCACAGTGGAGCAGTCCTGCCTGGCCTAGGCACCATCTGGCCCGTGGCACACATCCCACTAACCCCAGGCGCGCAGAGGGGCTGGGGCAGTTCTGCCACTGGTCTCCATCTCTAGGCAGCCCAGACGGCAGCAGGTCCTTCTGGCTGCCACCACCAGCCCTGTCCTGGCCCCATGGGGACTGGCGGGTACCAGCACACACAACCCCAACCCCAGCCTGCCCCACTCCCACTCCAGACCAGCCCACCCACAATGAGCAGTGACAGCGGCTAGGCAGAAGCTGCTGCTAGGTGTAGGGGAAACGTGGCCACCTGCACCCCTTGCTGCTGCCGGGCCATTCTTGCTGCAGCCGCCTGGAGCCTGTACCCAGGCTGCCCTGCAGTTCCTCTCTGCCACTGACACCACCACCACCAGCGCCACCTCCAGATCACCCAGCAGGGCAACAGTGGCATTAGAGAGGTGTTGCAGGGCAGCCCAGGTTCAGGCCTGCAGGCCCTGCAGCTCCTCCCTGCTACTTGCTGCAGCAAGAAGGGCCCAGCAATGGTGAGGGGGGCAGCTGTTTTTCCCCTGCATTCAGCAGCAATGGCTGCTACCACTTCTGCTCATGGTGGGTGGGGGCTGGTCTGGAGCAGGCACAGGGTGTGCTGAGGCTGGTGCTGTGTGTGGGTTCCAGGCTGGTTCAGAGATGGTCTGCTCTGGCAAGGGTGGGTCTGAAGGCCAGGTATGGAGCTGTGTACTTGGGTCACAGCTGGTTTGGAGCTGGTCCACTCTGGCCAGGGCAAGTCTGGGGTAGGCATAGGGCAAACAGGAGCCAGGGCTGTGTGCTCACCTGCTATCGGGCGCTGGTGGTGGCAGCAGTAGCAGGGAGGAACCACAGGGTCTGCAGACTCCAGGTTTGGTGAGCTGTTGCAGTGAGAAGGGTGCTGACCAGCCCTTAACAGCTCCCCAAAGCTGCCTATGTGGCCCTTAGGCCCAAATAATTGCCCACCCCTACAACAGAGATATGCCAGCAAAACTCTGTAAGTTAGACCTGGTCTAAGTAAAGTACATACTGGCTGTGTCCACACGAGACACTTTACTTTGCAGCAGACTAATTTGCTGCACAGTAAAGCATCTCCATGTACACATGTGTGGCAATTATGGCGCAGTAGACTAATTTACTGCACTGCCAGGTAGTCCCATCAGATACAAGTGGTATCCGGCAGTGCAGTAAATTACTGCACTTAAATGCACATGTAAACAGTGATGATGGGAATAGTTTATTCCAGCTTAAGCTGAGCCAGAGTATATTCAGTTCCATTACTTGTACATGTAGACATGCCCACTATGTATGACACTTGTATCATATTCACTTTTTGCTGCATTGTTCTGTATTTCCTTTATTCCATTTCCTGTAGTTCCTGTATTTCCATTGTTCTGTATGATACCTTAAACTTATTCATCATTATTTATCACTGTGTTACCATAATGCCAAGAGTCCTTGTGCCAGACAGACCCCAATATAAGTATAGAAAGAGAGGAAATACATGGATATAAACAGACAGATAGGAATGCAAGAAGCAATGGGATAATATTCATCAACATAATAGGCTGTCTTAGCTTACCAGCAGTCTAACTATTGTCATGCTTTTTTTTAGGTGTCACAGCAAAGAAGAGACATAACAACAGATCTGAAGGGATTATCGTGATTTTTAGTACAAGACATCCTTAATGAAAAAATTATTTCCAAGATATTGACTGATAACTGATTTAAAATGGCATGGGTACAATAGAATCTAGTTTAGATTGCAACAGGGAACAAATTGCAACAGGTATATATAATCTATGGCACTAGGCCAGTTGTAATATCTAGTTATTCTGAGGGCTTACAGAGACCATACTGTGAACATACTGCATGCTCAGGTGAAAGACATTCATTTGTGGAAATGATAATGCTAGTTATAATAATAGTACTTTTATTATTATTTTAATAACTGTAGTGCTTAGCACGTGCCACCCATGCCCCAGGAAGGAAATGTAGAAATTTAGGGTTGGAAAGTACCTCACAAGGCCATCTAATCATCCCCCTACTCTTAGACAAATTAAGTATATTAGGCATACTAATGATGGGGATTCAACAACCTTCCGAGATAACCTGTAAACTTGTTCCAGGGCCTAACAAGCCCTTCTATAGTTACATCTGTTTATATAATAGGTACTCTAAATTTCCCTTGCTGCAGTTTTATCTTATCACTAGTGGACATGGAGGATAATTGATTAAAGTCGTCTTTATAGCTACTTTTTTATATTTCTGTTCAATCTTCTCTCTTTAAAAGAAACCTAATTCTTTCAACCTTTCCCCATAAGTTTTTTTTTTTTTACATCTCTCATTCTTGTTCCTCTTCTTCAGACTTTCTCCAATTTGTCTTTTCTTCCTCAAAGTGTGGTGCCCAAAACTGGACACAGTACTCCAGCTGAGGAGTACCAGTGTTGGCTAGAGTGGAATAACTACCTTTCTTCAAATGCAACACCCCTGTACACTCCAGAAAGACATTTACCTTTTTTGCAACAGCATTACATTGTGGATTTATGTTCATTTGTGGTCCATTGTAAACCTTATGTATTTTTCTACATTACAGCTACCTAGCTCTTATTCTCCATTCTGTATTTGTCCATTTGACATTTTCTTCCTTTGTACTTATCTTTCTTGAATTTCACCTTACTGATTTTGGACTTTTTTTTTTCCAGTTTATTCAGATCAGTGTACTATGCAGAAACATTCCATGGGCAGTACAACTGATACAGCTGAATAGAGAACTGTGCCATTAAAGGTGCAGTTATGCTGTTTCCTGAATGAAAAGTAGTGTTGTTGTGCCTGTGTTATACTGCTCTAGCACTAAATGTTGTACAAGCAAATAAACAGTGCTATCACAGCTGTCTGCTTGTAGCTGAACCAGCTCATCTGCTAATAGTCATTATAGTCGCTGACTACAATGAGAGGAAGCTGAAGAGACTGAGAGGTTATTATGATCTAGTTAGTGAAATAAGAGCAAAGGGTTTTCTGCATCTTAAAACCCCTAGGGCGTTGTGGCAGGCCCACGTTTGCAGTGCCACCACTGGCGTGTCCTGCCCACCTGGGCACCACCCCAAAGCCTACTTGCCTGTCATGACTTGATGTTATTTGAGATTAGTTGTAGGTGCTGCTCAGTGCTTTCCTCTGGCCCTAGACAGCTCAGCTGGTAGGTCTTCTGCGAGGCTCCACCCCCACTACATTTCACCCCTTTCCACTCAGGTGGTCCACTCTGGTCTCGGCAATGTCTGCAACGGGCTACTGGCGCTGCCCATTCTCCTGGCACACCTGCCTGCACAGTAGATATGAGGCCTTCATGGCTGGTGAATGCACAACTTAATGATAAGGAAACTAAATGTGAGCGCATGGTACAGGCAAGCAAGGCATTGATTCTATGCACACCCGACACTGCACCTCAGTGTTCTGTGTCTGACGAGGCAAGCTTCTCCCAGCCCCGGCTGGCTTTCCCCCTTTGTGGGTATTCCCCAGGCAAGCTGGGTTTCTAGGCTTCTGGCTCCTGGCCACATACCCCAATACTTCAGACAACATCACTTCATACTCCCTAGGCTCCTCTGCAACTGCTGCTGCCCTAGCAATGGGTTTTGGGTCT